TTTGTCTGGTTTCCTTCCCAAAGTGTACATATCTTCGTTAGAAATTGAATGTGACATGGTTGTTGGTAAGCCACTGTTCCCACAACAAACTCTTCCCTTAGTTTAGGTGAGAGTGTAATCTTTAGATGTTCTTTCTGACATTCGGCTGTCCATTGGAATGAACCTCCATCTTCTATAAGTCTGTGTAGTAGTCGGGCTATATCGGCAAATCCTCGTATGAATCACTGATAGTAGGAGCACAGTCTTAGAAAACTTTTAAGTTTGTGACAATCCTTTGGTAGGGCAACTTCAAACGGTATCCGTTTTATTACAGTCGGTCATAATTCCTTACACTGTTATGACATGATTGACGTATTTCACTTCTCTTCTAAACAGGAAGCATTTCTTGGGATTTGGCTTCAATTTTGCGGCTGACAATTTTTTGAAGACTTCCGTTTCGTTTCGGAGGTGGTCGTCGAAGTCCCTTCCTAGTATAATGATGTCGTAGGCATATTAAATCTTGTAATACAGTATCCATGCGTCTTCCGAATGTAACTGGTGCATTGCACAATCCAAAAGGCATCACATTGACCTGTCATAGACCATTTTCGGTTATAAAAGCAGTCTTCTTCTAATCCAGCCAAAATCTTCACCTGAAAGGGCGAAGACGTGTTGAAAACAGGTAAGAAGTTGAAATTGTTACTTGACCGTTTCATCTGTTCTGTTAATGCTGCAGGAAGTGAAGTCGGCTTTGTATCAGGGTTTTCTTTCAAGTCACAGTGGTGGATTTCAGCTGCTAGTTTAAATACTTCGTACTCTATGCCTTTGCAGATCTTTTGTTGGAAGTCCTTTAAATTGGCGATTGTAACAGGTATCGGTAATGTTCCATTTCTTACTACTATATATCCCGCTAGTAATGCTTTCTTTGTCAAGTTCTGATTGTCCAGTTTAACTACCTTAATGTATATGTTCCATAGTTTGTTGAAGTCTTTCCGGAAGCTGTAGGTTCAGTCATCTTATCAAAGGTCGAGTTGGCCGTTCCGATACCACATTAGGTCGAACGATATTGTTGGATGCATCTGTGTCGGTAACGATCTTAACATTATGCGTATTTATAGTCAGTTCTATGAATAATGAGTTAGTTCAGTCTAATCTTGAAATGATGACTTCTTCTTTGCTTAGTGAGGGTGAACCAACTGTGGCCCTTAAAGTTAACTGACTAGTTTTAGTTTTCCGACTGCCGTGTTGTTTTCTGAGGGGCATTCTTGAGTTGGCCCTAATTTCTACATTTTAGACGAGCAGTTCTTGCAGTCTCGAACAAAACGATCACATTCCACATTCTTATTTTTAATTTTGCTCTCATGTCTGTAGCATTGACCTTCTTCATATCCATTACACATTCCCTGATTAGTAACGTAACACCTTCTGTTGTAATTTCTTTTCTTTTTAATTTCTTCTCTCATTTGTTCTATCATCGTTTCCATCTTGATTTCTTTTTTTTCTTTCTTCTTTTTCATATTGATTTCCCTCTCTTTTATCTTCTTTTCCATTTCATCTCTAATATTATATACCTTTTCCTCCATTCCCTTGTTGATTGGTTCTTATACGTTCTTTATTTCTATTTCCATTTCCTGCTTCATTTATTCTTGAGCTGCTTTTAACTCTTTTTGTCCCATATGTCATCTTGTACTGCTTTTAATTCTTGCTTTATTTCTTCCTGTCCGTTTTTAATTTCTTCTTGTTCCTCTTCCATTATCGGTTTCATTTCTTCTTGTTCTGCATTAACTTCTACCATCATTGACTTCACAGCCTTTAGCTTCGTACAATTCGTCGCTTCTTCGCTCTTTCTCGTTCGCTTTTTATTACTTATAAGGGCTGGCCTTGTTCATGAAAGATCAATAACGTGACGTCTAAAAAATTTGGCCTGATTTGTCACTATGTATGTTGGGTTGACTACATTCATGTGACAATATTTACACTTAAGACCAAACACAAAAAAGATAAAGCCACAAAGAGCAAAAAGTTGTAGAAGGACGAACAGAGAATTGAATTTACTTAATTACTGGTAGATACTCTTAAAGTAGGGATGGGAATGCAGGGGGCGAGACCAATGGTTATTGGTTTATTTGGCCTTAGGCTACTGTTAATGACCATTAATAAACATTTGTTAAATTGTCCTAGTAAACAGCTATGGAACTGCAAAACCCTAATAAATGTAGGCAGAGAAAGTTTGCTTTCGGAACTGTATCGGCAACAATTCAACATTGGGAAATATGTACCGCATCCTATTAATGTTTTGCATATTGTCATTGTTAAACTGAAAGAACAACACAATCACAGATACAACAGTGGCCAAACCATACATGCCAAGTTAAATAGAAGTGCATTTTATCGGTTAGCATTTTGGCAAAACTGTCTCACATTTCTACTTTGAACTTATTAGTCCTCTTCACCATGCCATTGATTCATTGTCAGTTTGATAAGTACATATATTAATAAGAAAGTCGTATTGTAGTTTACAATGCTATCTTTGAATTTGTGCTGCCAACTTTCTCTTTTGATAAATAAGTTAAGGTTACGGTAGGAAAAAGACAACACGAACGTAGTGATAAATATATCGCAAAGTATACTTTTACCATTAAAAAGGACCATGTTATACGCAACGTCGCATTCAATCAGTTGGGAATTAGCAGCATCGGTATTGTATTTATTTTGTACTTTTTTTGCTCATAAACTAGGTCAGTGTGTCACTCATTGTTATTACAATGAAGTTTAGTACGACAGAACTTTGAGATATGATCCTGATCTACGGCAAATGTGGATACTACATTAATGCAATAATCGAGTTGTACAGCCATCAACATTCTCAGCGAGCCATTTTAAGTGCGGTACAACCCTACATTTAAGGGTCGTGTGCGTCGACATCCGAACCATATCACCGTTGTAGAAGACGAAATCCTAGAGTTCATAGAAGGCAACTCCTAACGTAGTGCACTGAAATAGCAGGGAACGTTGGCTCCTCTCATATGACAGTGTGGCGAATTTTAAGAGAAGTTGCTGCACCCTTTTTATTTGCAGCGAGCCTTACATGAAACTGATTTTTAACTGCGAGTTAATTTTTGTTAGCTTCGACAGAGAAGTGCTTTATTATTTCTATAGAGTGTTGTTTGCAGACAAATTTACTTCACACTGGATGGAATATTGAATTCTCACAATAATCAGTATTGGTGCGATGTAAATTCGCTTGTCGTGCATCCCTTGCAATTTCTGTAAATGTGTGGTATGAAATTTTGAAGACTTATTTACTTTTTTGGTAGCTTTACTTAGAATCAACCACACAAAAGTAACGCACTTTGGCAATATCTCAATGTTGGTGTGAAAATTTGCCTTAATAAAACTACAATTATCCAGTGAAACTCATTCACCGACTAACGTATACGTAATTACGTTGTAATGCTGTCTATAACGTACTTATTTAGTTTATTTAGGTATAAATATTATGTGTTATACTAAATTGTTTATGCATATGTTAGAGTTTGATGATCGTCAATGTTTACAGTCTCAGTCCATGTAGCTGCAGACATCCATGTTGGCAATTTACACACAGGACCGCGTTCGGCACTTATTTCTGTTACACCCTGTATGGATGTGGACATATTGTATAACCTGCGGTTACCTGTTGTCGCTTTACCCGCAGTATATTGCCGCTTATGACTCAAAAGCGGCGATTTTGATGAATAATTGAAAAACATGTCATTATTAGAATTTCGTTAGTTTTCAAGTAACACTCCATTCGATTTTATTTGAAGTTTTTAAATTTTTTCTTTCTCAACTCTTTAGAATGCTATTTTTGTAAAATCCTTTTGTAGTGCGCCCTATTGTAAGTAATAGTGTTACAAAGTAGGTACCTATCCATAAATTCTTATTTGGGTCACTAGTTCAATGTTGGTGTACCTAAATTGTTTGTTTAAAATTGCAAGCTAAGATAGTTACCTACTGGATTAGTAGGTCAATTAGCCACCGCTTAATTACGGAATCAATAATAGTCGAATTGCTAGTCAAATTCGAATTCAGATTGAAGAATCCCGAGAAGCAAGTAAAACAGGGTGTTGAGTCGATTTGCCGTCTTCACTTACCCTGGGACGATTCCTTACAATTTCCTACGTCCCCCAATCATATAGTAAGATATGCTGATATTGTTGTTATGTGTTATCTTATGAAATATTGTTAAATTATTGTTGTAAATAAATTGTTTTTATTTATTAGCTCACGTGAAATTGTTAAATGCATTGCTGATACTAAATTAACTAAATTTACTTCTAATATTACATTAAATTAATCATATTTCTAAATAAATATAAAAAAAAATATTTGACAACAGTCAAAATACGCTGGCAAATTTTTATAATAATAACCTCGACTTTGCGACCGTCATATCGGTCATAACTTCTGGCGCTTGTTGTGGGGCATTATTATTCTTCTTGGTAGCTTCCTTCTGATCTTTATACATTTCTTCCTTTGGGTTACTATGGCATTATTCCACCAGTATTTCACAGTTTTGGTCGCCTTTTTGGTCTTAACAAAGAGAGAGTTCTGGTACGCTTCCAGCACCAGACCAGTCGGGACGGATGGATACAGTGAGGTAGTTAAAGTCCATCTCAGTCCCTGGAAAGTTAAGCAAAGCCTTCGTCATCCTATTCTCGATCCTGATTACAACCCAATGGATTTCTTTTTTTTGTGGGCATATGAGATCTTTAATTTATACCAACGAAATTCATTCACAAAATGAACTCTGGGAAAAAAACATTTTTAAATCTCTTTTCTAGACCATACGCTATATCTGTAGTTTTGTACGCACATATGGAAGAATAGTTTATGAAAGACTAAATGTGTTGGTAAAACTCTGTTTGCTTTTTAACAAAGAATGTTTGGAAATTATTTCGCTTAATATTAAATTCGCGAAAAGACATATATAATAAGATTGAGGCACTTTTAGTTTAACAATTAAAATAATTTCCCAGGTTTGGAAGAAGCTGCAACAAAAATCCAAGCATCATTTCGAGGGCACCTAGTACGAAAGCAAATGGACAAAGATGAAAAGCAAGAAGGCAAGGGAGACAGCAAGAATTCTGATAACGTAAGTTCAATTCATTTTTAAAATTGTGACCAATAACAGTTTTGAAAACGTAATAAACGAAAATTCGAATATGAGAATAACATGTACAATAGAACTGATGTTACATTAGAGATGTGGTTATAACCGATAATTATGTTGTTATAACCATGTTTCACTGTATTTATGAAGATAAAAAAACATTCGTACATCAATAATTGAGAACCAAAATAATTAAATAATAATTTCCATCTGTTGGTAGACAGGTATCTTATTACATCAGTCCTTTAAAACATAAAAAGCGTTCAAACTAACTCATTGAAGAACACTTAACATTTCTTATTATGGAATTGGTGTTTTCTTTTAAGTCCTGTCCAGACCAACCCAACAAAATGCACAAAACAGACGCCACCGTTTGGTCAGTTGCGGTAGAATTGCCCGCGATTTGTGTTCCTGAACGGTATCGGTGTTATTAGGATCAAATTCCGCCAAGTCGAAAATGACCAATGCTAGCCGTGGTCGTTTAAAAACCTAACATTAGGAGTTTACACAATTTAATATAAATAAAAAATTAAATTTCAAAAATAAATGTTTATTTGCCACACAATACATACTTTTATAAAATACCACAAATGACGCGGCAAACGTCATCTGTAGTACGATGCTACATTTTAGGATTACGTATGCCCCAACAAGGTCCATTTCAATATATGGATATCTACTTGCTGAAACGAATCCCGGCGTAGCTAACCTCTACGTGATAGGCACGTTATCATAATCGAATAAAATAATTCGAAGTGGTCTTTATTCTGTCAAAACTGCCACACGCGGATTGCTATTTCGATATTTTTGGATCTCATCAGCCTCTTCCATTTTATTTAAAGCTATCTCCAACTCCTCCTTGCTAGAAGCTGATATTACTATATCATCTGTAAATCTAAGCATACTAATCTTTTGCCCCTCCATATCTATCCCTACAGTACTATCTTTAATGATGTTAATCGTTTCTTCGACGTATAAATTAAAAAGTAGCAGTGACAATGTGCATCTCTGCCTAACTCCCTTCCAAATATTTAGTTCTATACGTTTTAGCTCCAGCTGTATAACTGCCTGGAGCTCTTTGTACAAACTAAATAATCCCTCTTCTACCTCTGTAACTGATCCGTACATTTTTAACTATATTTAACATCTTGTCCCATTTAACATTCAAAAGCCTTTTCTAAATCTACAAATCCTATATACGCACTCTTTCCTTTTTCCATCGTTTTCTCTATTGTTACCCGTAAAGTTAGAATGGTCTCTATTTCTCTATTTCTTCTAAACCCAAGTTGATCTTCCCCTAATAGTTTTTCAGCACTTTTTTCCATCCTCCTCTGTACAATTCTAGTTAAGATTTTTGACGCATGGGAAGTTAAGCTAATGGTTCTAAATTTCCCGTACCTATCCGCGCCTATCTTTTTAGGTATGGTTACTACCATGTTCCGCTTATAATCCCCTGGAACTTTCCCCATCTCGTAGATGTTACTAACTAGCTTAAACATACGATCTCTAACCTCTTGTCCCTCATGTTTTAGAATTTCCGCTTGTATCCCATCTGTACCCCGCGCCGTATTATTCTTTTAGTTTTTAATGCTCCATCGAATTCTTCTCTCATTATGGGATAACCTAGCTCACCTGTCTCCACTCTGTCTTCCGTCTCTAACTCATAGCCTACGTATAGGTTCTCTAAATATTCTTTCCACCTAGCTGTATTTTCCTCATTTTCTATCAAAATGGCCTCTGCCTCGTTTCTTATATTGTTACTACTGTACCCTACATCTCTTTTAATTATATTATAAGCCTCATCGGTTTTGCCTACTTTAAATATTTCTTCTACTTCTTTACACCTCCTATCAATCCACTGTCCCTTAGCTGCCCTACACTTCCTAATTATCTACTTTATAGCCTTTTCTACCATTCTTCGTCTGTCATGTTTTTGTATTTCCGCCTTTCTTTTAATAATCCTACAATCTCATTTGTTATCCAGGGTTTCATTGTAAGATGATGTAGGCATGTAGACCTACACTATTACGGTTTCTACCGGCTTCCAGTTTATCTATTTAACTATCCTATCGCGTTTTTGTTAATAACTTTCTACACTCTGCCCTGCTTTTCTACGCATTACAATTCCTACCCCCGTATTACTTTCCACCGATCCTGTATGTATTATTCTAAAGTGTCCACTTCAGAAGTCTCCAGCATCTGACCAACAGACTTCACTAATGCCTTCTATATCTAATTCTGGTGTATTCATCTCAAGTTTCAAATTTTCTGATTTCCTTATTTGCCTCATTGTGCTAACATTCCACGCTCCGACTCGTGAAGTATTACACCTTCCCCTATTGCACTTATTGAGAATATCCCCCGAGGTAGTCCCCGCTTGGACATTCGAGTGTGGGACTAGTTTACTTCCGGAGTGCTTAACCCAGAGGACATATGGGATATCATAATGTGGTTATTTTGCATTTTGCCCATTTGATATTAGTAGCTATTTTAATATTTGAGATATAAGAGATTGAAATTTGTAATAATTGCAAACACAATGCGGCGGCTAATAACGTCACTATACGCAACTCTGAACTCAACAATGACACATTTAAGATTATGGACTATTTTAATACTAATAAAAAGTACCTATATTAGTACAGGAACGAATTGAATGAAGCTACAATGGTACCCACGTTATTAATTTAATATCTTAACATAGCTGTGACAATATCTTTTATTTTTATTCATTTGCATACGCTCTTCAAACAAATAAAGTAATGACCTAGTAAGACAGCAAATTAAATTAATCAATATGTTTTTTGAGTAAGGTGGGTAGACCCTGGCCAATTAGATGACATTATTCAGCTAGAGTTCTGCAATGCTGAGACAAGTGCAATATGCAACTGTTAACAAATGTTTTGTTGCACTGGTTTGGGCGTAGTTTTACGATTAGACATTTTAGAAGGGAGAAATAAAAAATTTAAAGTCTAAAAATAGAAGGAGGAGACTGTGGTAAATATTAATTAAAAAATTAAAAGGAATACTCACCCCTAATTACCACAAATAATTATATATGAGCGGACACGTGTTTCGCCCACTTCACACGTGGGCATTATCAACGCGAGACTGAAAATTATTTGTGGTAATTAGGGGTGAGTATTCCTTTTAATTTTTTAATTTAAAGTCTGTTTTTTATTCACATTATTTAAGACATTTTTGTATAGCTTAAAATCAAGGAGCATCGATCAAATTTAGATGATAAAAATAGCAATTAACTTCCTACATATGTAGTGTGTAACAAAAATAAGTGCGGAGCATTGGAAGGTGTAATAAACTAGATGCAATAAATAAATTTTGCTTTGTACGGAATTAGAATAGTTGAACTAAAGCTTTAAGTGATTCAAAAAGAAACTAATTTCAAAAATTCAGATTTATTAAGCAATCCTCTACGTTTTAATCAACAAAAATGTTTTCGAAGCAATAGCACATCTATCACAATTATAAGCTGACTTTAGCTTTATTATTTTGAATGATTTTGCATATTTTATAAGATGTATATCTGTTTTACTCGCCAGCCTAGACTCTAGGTTTATGATAATGTAAATGAAGTCGGATATAAAAAGAGTATTTATATTATTAGTAACAAGAAACAGATTTATATAGATAAAAAATTCAGTTTAGCATTTTATTTTGCAGTGTGAAATGATTTTTACGTTTTTACCATAATTAAATTACATTTCTAATATCTAAGTAATTACTTAAATGTTCTAGCAGTAAAAAATAACTTATAGTCTTAATTCAACGTTAAAATTCGAATTTGCTTCATAGCCATAGTACGAGCAATAACAAGACCTTTGTCTTTCGTGAATCTTTAATTGAACATATTGTCACGTAATCAACACCTTTCTGACTACCCACTTATTTATTTATTCACTATTTACATTTTTAACCAACACCACTATTATTAATTAATTATTAATTTATGACTATATCACACAATATGAGCAAAAGTGAGGAGCTCAGAAGAGAAGGTGGCAGGGCCTTCTGAAACGGTCGTTTGGCTTAGAGGCGAAGTCGGAAAGTGTCGAGATAGACGGGTTTGGATGATCTGATTCTTAGACCTTAAGATTTTCTGCGAATTTGGTTGTATCTTCAGGGAGAGAAGGTAAACCAGTTTCTTTCAGAATTTGGGTATTTCTGATGAACCATGGGTAGTTAAGTGTAGAGCAGAGAATCCGTATGTAGGTAGCTTGAAGAAATTGAAGGCGTAGGGATGGGTTCAGCCCCAGATGATGGCGTAGGAACAAATTCTCCTGGTGATTGCGTTAAACGCATGGATTTTCGTTTGTTGGTAGATGGAGTTATTTCAGTATAAAGGATGAATATTATAGGCTTGTGATGTAGGGCCGTCACTCTAGAGCTGTGACGCCTAGGTAAGTCACCGAGTTGCTCCATTTGATGGGACGGTTGTTTACGATGATAGAGGCAGATTTTCGGAACCTACGTGAGAAGAAAATTGCCTTCGATTTGGTCTCATTAATAGAATGTTTCCATTTCCGGTACCAGTTTAGGAGCAGGGGTAGAAATTTATTAATTCTCGCAGTGCTTTGTAGAATGGTTTTGGAGTTTATGAAGGCAATGTCGTCAACATAAAGAGCAGTCAGAATCGAAATGTAGAAGGGCATGTCCGCACAAAACAGGTTAAAAAGAATGGAAGATAATTTGATGTCTTATGGGACACCGGCTGTGACAGGTTTACTGGCAGAGAGAACAGAGCCAACGCGGACCCGAAGGCTTCTGACTGTGAAAAAGAACCTGATAACCCCAACTAGGAAATGTGGGATGTTAAGTGCGATGAGTTTGGAGATAAGGCCTTCGTGCCAGACTCGGTCGAAGGCTTGCTGGACATTAAGAAGGAGCATGGAGTTGTGATGTCGCTTGTTAAGATTGTCGGAAATGTGTTCGGTTACACGAAGAAGTAGGTAGCCGGTGCCGTG